TACTACCAGCTGCTCAGAGCAAATTAATCATGCCCTCATTCTGGAAGATAGATGCGACTGCCGAAGGAGCGGGCCTGCGTTTCGCTAATTGGGCACCCTGTGAACTGGCCCCGTTGCTTGTTTCGTACACTTGCTGAAGTTTAGTGCTGAAATTGCCATAATGAGCTAACACTAACTGTGTCAGTCGGCTCCGGCATGAAGAGAAAGGATGGCCTCGGGGGGCGGCTGGCAGTGTGAAACAGACCCCGAAACCTTGGCTCCATTCCCCCAAGAGGAAAGCCTCTTGCCACACAAGGGGGGTTATTTTGCTCAAGAGCAAACACTGATCCTCTTAAATTAGGATCATCTCAGGCCGGTTCCTAGCAGTCAGGTGCCACGTGAGAAGAAGCATCCGCTACGGAGGACACAAACGAGGGCCTTACGTGGCAATCAGAGAACCGCAGGAGCTAACAGGCCCTCCAAGGCAGTGGCAGGGAACTTGCACTGCATTGTGTGTGGCCGTATTGCTTGTGGGGGCAAACAGTGGTCTTCTGTCTTCAGTGCTGATACAATTCAGCCTCTCTAGCTTAGCCCTCTTAGCCTAGGTAGAGGGCACGAGAAAGCTAATGTCTAGGTAACAAAAAGCCATGATAAGAACCACTCTGCACTAGAATACATACATGAAGCGGTGACGGCGTGACGGGGAGCCCCCCGACCCTGCACCCCGTCTGCAACCAGATGTAACTCTCCGCCAGCCAGAAGAGTAAAAATGAGTTTACTGCTTTTCAAAGATACTGCACAGCATAGGCTCGATGTAGGCATAGGATAGGCCGACAGCCCTAGTTCCCTTGGGGGGAAGGGGTTCACAGGCCCCTGAACCCCCTAGACTGGGTTTAGTCTGCCTCCTCCATGCTTCCCTATGCTCAGACTGCCCCTTCTCCAAACCACACAACACTCATCCCCCGGGTAGCCACACCCCTTCCTTTGTTCAAACCCCTTCCCCCTGGCCAGGTGAGAAGCTGCTAGCTATGGCTTGTCCTCAGGGAGACCCCCGCTGGGCAGTGCTTACATACACAGGCCAGTAGGGGTCACCCACAGCACAACACAGCAAGCAGGGAATGCCATAGCGGGCTCAGGGCCACCAGTGTGTACAGCACACCCCACTACGTCACAATGCACAGGCTGAACCTCTCTAGGTTGTCGCCCTCGGGACCTGACCGGTGCTGAACCAGAGAATTTGCCGGATCACAGGAGGTCAATATTGTCTGGCAGCATCACCAACCCTTCCCCTGCTTGCTGGGCTCTTAAGAGACATTCAGGGGTAAATTAGAGCTAAATAACAGCCCAGAACACTGAGAGCCAGGACTGGGGGCTGTAAACAAATTTTATGGGACCGCTGGAACCTTGGCCACGCCCATGATAAGTGGACGTCCGGCTAACTCAAATCATGCCGGACCAGGGATGTTGCCAGACTAGAAACATTCAATCTGCAGCAGCGTTCGGCAGTCTAAGGAAGTTATCAGATAATACAAGTCTCTGTGGGAGGAGCCATGTGGAGGACACAGGGCTCGCTAGACATGGACACATGAACTTTTCCCTGAAGAAGATGCCAATTTAAAAGAGGCTGTGGAATAAGAGGGAGAACGCTTGGGAAAAACCAGCGCTACATGGCCCTCTTCGGATGCTGCCTGAGCAGTAGAGCGGGGCTTTGTCTCCTCTATCCCTCCGTCAGCCTAATGAAGAATAACTCCTGGAGCTCACACATTCTTCTCAGGCATGGCTATTGCTAGATTGTGCTGAAAATGGGCAATTTGTAAGGTGTGTTCTCAACCTCCTCCCCAGCCCCAAAATATATTAACTAGTTGATTAGGTGCACCCAGCCTCTCAAAACCAAGGCAGAGGATAAGACATGGGTACATGAGATGTGCAGACCAGCAAAAACAATTGCAATACCTGCTCCCCATGCCCACAAGAGGCCTGGATGCCTACGGCTTGTCAATCTTTGGCACATTTGAAGACAGCGGCTGGTGTATTTCCTTGATCTGCAGCCCAGACAAGACATTTCCCAGACTTACTCACTCTCTCAGCAGCTTCTGACAGGCCAAATGCTTGGTCAATACCAAGGAGGATCTGAGAACTGCAGCCAACTATCAATAAGCAGTGGTGGGGTACGACAGCATGTTTTGTCATAAACCCCTGCAGCTCCCCAAAGCACTCGCACGTGATTTTCAGATCCCAACAACAGCCAAGGGCAATGCTCTGTGTGCTTCTGCAGGGCCAGGATCTCACAGTGCTTTGTAAGAGGGTAGCAAAGCCAAGCTTTACAGCCTCCTAGGAAGACTCAAAGTCCCATTTGCAGGTGGGTACACTGTTGCAGACTGATCTAAACCCACAGTCCCAGATGACAACAAGGAGTCCTGCGGCGCCTTAGAGAATAACAGATTTATTAGTGCATTAGTAGATTTATTTGTGTCATGGGTAAACCCCACTTCATCAGAGGTATTGGAGTGGGAGTTACAGAAGCAGGGATCTATATAAGGAAGAAGTTGCTTGTGTGAACGAGGCCAATCAAGTCAGGGTGGAAGTGGGTCTTTCACGGTACTTGGTCTGAAGATGTGAATATCCAAAGAGGGGAAATTGCCCTTGTAATGTGTGAACCAGTTGAGATCCTTATTCAACCCTAAGTGGATTGTGTTGAACTTGCAAAGGACGCCAGTTCAGCTGTCTCCCTTGGTAATTGGTTTGTTAGTCTCTAAGGGTATGTCTACATTACCCCGCTAGTTCGAACTAGCGGGGGTAATGTAGTCATCCGCAGTTGCAAATGAAGCCCGGGATTTGAATTTCCCAGGCTTCATTTGCATGAAGCCGTCCGGCGCCATTTTTAAATGCCGGCTAGTTCGAACCCCGTGCCGCGTGGCTACACGTGGCACAGAGTAGCGAGTTTGGATTAGTGTAGCCGCGCGGCACGGGGTTCGAACTAGCCAGTATTTAAAAATGGCGCTGGCCGGCTTCATGCAAATGAAGCCCGGGATTTGAATTTCCCGGGCTTCATTTGCAAGTGCGGTATGCCTACATTACCCTCCTAGTTCGAACTAGGAGGGTAGTGTAGACATACCCTCTGAGACTTAGTTTCCTAGGATCTCAGAGCAGAACCTAAATCTGACTCCCTGTTTTGTGCCCTGAGCACAAGAGCATTGATTTTTTCCACCCCTAAGACAATGCAGCTCTATAAAAGACAGACACGGGAATCATACCGAGCTCCTCTGCAATAACTTCTCAAACGAGGCCCAACCTACCGGGTCCTGTGTTAGGCTTCAATTTCATGGTAGAATAACAACTGTGCTCCGAAATTTTCTCTCCGCAGCGCAACCAGCCGTGAGTAATGTAGTTGTGTGCCTCTTGTCAAGGTCACCCCGCAATATACGCTTTGCCTGTTATATGTAAGTACTGTTGCTGATAGGCTTGACTTCTCCGTACGCAATGCTTATAGAACCGAACATGCAATACCATAGAGCTAATATCTGTGCAATCTGTTTTTGGAGCACAGCGACAGATTGCAGTGGAGTCCCCGCTCACGCCACTTTGAGTTCAATGTGGAAGAGAAGTGAAGTTAAAACATAAAGTCAGATGTTCTCCCTCACCCAGACAACCTGGGCTCAATGCAGGAATGAATCTGCTATGCAGGAAGGCAGATAGATAATCACACTACATCTCAAGATCTCTGATAGGATCCGGCTAATGTCCAAACGCAAGGAAGCCAGCCTGATGGACCAGATTCTCCGTTCCCACTCCCACACATGGAGCGTTCCCTTTGCTCTAGTGTAGAAGAGAACACAAGGCACAGGGAAACAGAGCTGTCAATCCCCAGAGCAGGGGAGATACGGGGTCCATCTGTCATCAAAGAGGGGACTCCAGATATTGGAAACTACCTTGTCTAGTCGGGTAGAAAAACAGACTGTATCAATTCATACGTGGCCATTCGGCTTCCGTTCGGCACAGCCACACAAGTGGAGGCCACGTTTATTAAAATGACGCACGCAGCTCAAGCCCGTCCCGTACAATGTATAACCAACCACCATTTCCAGGGCCTAACTAGACTTCTTCCACGCTCTTGGCGTTGATGGGACCACTGTGGAGAAGGGGCCATTATACTGAGTAAGGGATTCAGACTCAGGCTTCAAAGCACCATGTACCGCCCAGTCCCCATGGAAGTCTTGTTCAGCAGCACCTGGGGCTCAGTGAGCACCCCTCAGCTCCAGGCCGACTGAGAGCAGAGGTCTTGGGGGCATTATTGATCAGCCCCACTGAACATTTCAAGACGTGCTCACACCACGGGGCTGCTGGGCGGGGGGAGATTAGCACTTTGCCTGGGATTGTCCCCGATGCCTAGAGGAGTGAAGGGCCTAATCACACTGCATTTCAATGCGGGGTGAACCTCTGTGGTCCGGAACTCTCTGGGCCAGCAACATCCGGGGTCTGGTAGGACCACGAATGTCGCTGGATTGAAGAACCCCAGCGGCAGAGGCTGCCAGAGGCTGGGAGTGGAGCCAGCTGGCTGGGCCAGTGGGGCAGTGGAGCCTGGGGGAGCTGGAGCTCCCAGGGCCACAGAGCGTGCAGAGCTATCACAGCCCGGGGGTTGGGCGCAGCGGTGCCAGATGGCTAGAGAGAGAGCCCAGCAGGCCCTCCCAGCCTTCCTCTGGTCCAGCAAACTCCCTTGTCCGGTACCGGTCAGGTCCTGGGTACCAGACCAGGGAGGTCCAACCTGTAGGACCTGCAGAGAGACTTTCAAAGGCCCAGACAGACACCCAACACCCATTGATCTGAAATGACAGATGCCGCCTCCCTCCAGGTGTCTAACTCCCTTAGGCTCCTTTGAAAATCCCAAGCCACGTCAGTAACTGTAACAGCAAAGCACATACAGCATCTCCCCATGCAAAGTGACATCGTCCCGCACTCAAACATGGCTCAACTTCACACCAGCCATGGGGCATTTTCCATAACAGCAGGAAGAGCCAACCTACCGTCAATTCCCAGTGCTCCCTGCTTCTTGTTCTCCGGACACGGTTCAAACTGGTTGATAATTTCCAGGCAGTACTCCTTGGTCACATTTGTCATCTAGAAAGGGAACAAAACATAAAGCAGAGAGCATCTCATTAGCGAAATAACCGTCCGCTGCTCCCCTTGTTCTGTTCTCTCCACGCCGTTGGAGAGCTGGCTGTATTTTCCACACTAGCACTACAATTTTTCAGCTGCCCACTAAAATTCCCACTCCTGCCACTCAGTGTCAGGTCAGATCAGAATCAGGCTGCTCAGTGAAAAGTTATTGTCCCATTGGCCACTGCCTGATCACTCACAATAACACACAGAGCCCGATTTCTGCTTTGTAGGTCAATTTTTGTTTAGTGTTTTTAAGCCCACAGGGCACTCAAACAGCACATGTTTTGCTACGGCCCAATAGGGCCTTTTGGCTGCAGGATTAATTTGTGTTGTCAAAAGGTTTTCACTTTAGAGGCATGCAATGAAACAGAACTCCAGTGGAGAGACGAATGAATTATAATATTTGTCAAGGTATCAGAAGGATGGGAGATTATTAGAAGCCTTCCTTGGTCACCCATTACTTTGATCAATGGTAGGATTCCATTCTGGTCCTCAAGTTGTGTGCAGAGAACAAATTCTGCATGTTCAGAGACGTTGGCAATTAAAAGTTAGGTCATTTCCGGTCAGCTTTGTTTATGTTAAAAGAATGATAGAGCCCTGCATTCTGTAAACAGAGCTGGGTGGCCATTGATTCACCACTGCTGTCACCAGGATTGCTACAAGTCAGGGTCACCGTGCGAGGGGCTGCACATACACAGCCAAATGGAGTTGCCCCAAGGAAAAAGACAAGCAGACTCTCAAAACTACACCCGTAAAACCAAAGGAAAGCCTAGAACGACAGGGACGCCGAGTTAAGGTCTCACGGAAGATGCCTGGAGATGGACATTCTTCATTCAGCCAAAGAAGAGCTGCTGCCTGGCAGTGGCAGGACAGGCATCTTTCGAAGTGCACAAACAGCCATGGCAATCCTGACCTGGAGAAACCACTGGCAAGGGGACTTCAGAGGGATCGGATCTTTCTGTCTTCATGCCCTCTGTGGAGCCTGCTGACAAGGAGCTAATTGTGCTGGCCGTTTGGGCAACAGGAACTCAATACTTTGGGTCACGGAGCAGAGCCTTCTTGTGGGGAGGTTCAAAGCACAACAGCTCAAGGAGGGTGGAAAAAGTATTGTCCCTCCACCGACTGTCCTGGTGAAGCCGGGCTGAGACACAACAGGCCAAAAGTCTCCCCACCAGAAAACCGTGCTAGCAGCATTTACATTTTTGGCCATGCCCAGCAAAGGTAAGATAAGAACAGAAGCAAATAAGAACGGCCAGAATGGGTCAGACCAAAGGTCCATCTAGCCCAGTGTCCTGTCTTCCCACAGTGGCCAATGCCAAGTGCCCCAGAGGTAATGAACAGAACAGGGAATTATCAAGTGACCCTCTCCTGTTGTTAAGTATCAGAGGGGTAGCCATGTTAGTCTGAATCTTGCAAAAGCGGCGAGGAGTCCTGTGGCCTGACGAAGTGGGTCTCTGCCCACAAAAGCTTATGCTCCAACACTTCAGTTAGTCTATAAGGTACCACAGGACTCCTCTCCTGTTGTTCATTCCCAGCTTCTGACAAACAGAGGCTAGGGACACCATTTCTACCCATCATGGCTAATAAGTATTGATAGACCTAACCTCCATGAATTTATCTAGTTTTTTTTTTGAACCCTGGTCTTCACAACATCCTCTGGCAAGGAGTTCCACAGGTTGACTATGCACTGCATGAAGAAAAACTTCCTTTTGTTTGTTTTAAACCTGCTATCCATTAATTTCATTTGGTGACCCCTAGTTCTTATGTTATGGGAATATGTAAATAACTTTTTCCTTATTCACTTTCTCCCTACCTGTTGGTTTTCATGAGACTTCTAGTCCCGCTGCCATAGCAAGGCCTTTCCCTGCGCAGCAATGCTGCAGCAGGCTTTTGTTGTGGTTTTGACAAGGCTCAAACCTAAGTCTACAACACCTGCTTGCTCTATCCCCGTGGAATTCAAGAGGAGAGCCTGAGCGGTTTTTGCTCTCGGCATCAGTGATCAGCTGAGCAGATCGAGTCTTGTGGCCGGAGTTAATTTTCCTCTCTCAGCATGAAGAGGATCAATAGGCCCAGTGAAACAGAAACAGCGGAAGTTGTTTTGGGAGACAACAGGCACAAAGGGGAGGGAGATGTATTCATTTATTTCCTTTGCCAGGGACTCTTGAGACTCTATTCCAGTACAAAAAGCAGAGGCACCTGGACAGAGATAGCCCGGATTAGGTGTTCTCATGCTGACTTCACCATTGCTGCCCATCACCTTGTCTTCCCCACCCCATCGACTTCCCAAATTCCACTGAGAAAAAAGTAGTCCTGGCCAAGTTACCAGTTTGCTGCCTCCCCGTGCCACCTATGACCAGAAACATCCCAGCCTTGTCCTAACAGGCAGAGGGACAGGAGAGATCTCGGGGATTATATCTGGTGGGTCGGGATGGGACAAGGGGCAGCTGAAATGCTCCCTTTCCACAGAGGATGTCGACTTGGGGAAGAGAGAAACCAAACGATGACAAATTCTCAGCCTTAGTGAAATCTTGAAATGATTCCACGGGAATCTCTCTCTCCGTACGTTCTGAATTTCCGGGCTCTTTGGATTGGTTTTACCTAAGCGCTACCAAACTCATCCACCTCTGGGGTCTCGTTGATCCAAGAGCATGTTTCCTTCAGCTTCTGCCAGGTGCCTCCCCACTCCCCCTTCACTGAAGCAGCGCAAAATGGGCATTCATTTCCTGTTCCTTCCGTTGGTCTCCCTGCCCCCACTGCTAGGGGCACTGACTACATCTCTCCCCCTTTGCCAGTCGACTTGAAAGGATCAGCAGCTTCGTCACTGCAATGGGCTTGAACTTTCCCAGAAGAGACTCAGCCCACAGCCTGGCAGGCCGAAGGGTTCGGACAGCTACGCGTTAGGAGCCACTCAGAACCTGGTGAGAAAAAGTGGCAAGGCCCAGGTACGAGTAAGGACCATTCACACTAAGCAACAGAGGAGTGGGTCACAAAGTCTGTGTAGCTGGCACCTCCGGCAGGGCATGCCAGCTCTTTGCGGCAGTCATCGGCACATACAGGTGTTTGCAGGGAGAGATGCCCTACTGTGCAGTGCCCTTTGTCCAGCTCCTATGGCCGCCAAGGGAGTGGTGATTTTATCTTTCAGGCAAGGTCTACACTAGACTTGGAAGCTTGGCTTAACGTACGGACCTCCAGCTACATAACTGGAGTCAGTTGACCTTAAGGCGAGCTTGATGGTGTCCCCACAGCAGGAGGCCGATGGGAGAAAACTCTCAAGTCGGCTTCCTTTACTCCTCACAAAAGCAGAAGTATCGGATGCCAACAGAGGTGCCCTCTGAGTTCAACTTAGCGAGTCTTAACTAGACTCGCTAAATCAAACTCCAGAAGATCAATTGCGACAGCGGCGATCTTCCATTTACTAGACACAAGGCCTCAGAAAACATTTATATTTTTCGTCATTCAGAGCTTATTTTAAAATGATCAACCCACTGATGCTGCCCATAACCAAGATGATCACTTAACTGACAGATGAGTGTTCCCAGCAAGGTGAGTACAGTTGAATTGTGATGCAGAAGATGGCATCTATCAATGTGCTTGTGTACACGTCAGTACGGATGCGTGGAAGATGCTTAGCTTGAGCCATGAGAAAACAAAAACATGCGACACCTCAATTTGTGTCTGTCTCACAAAAGCAGTACAGAGCTGTCAGGAAAGAGAGCCAGCGTCTTCAATCCACAGCAGTGGCTGATGGATAGATGTGACTACCTTGCATAACAAATGCCAGCCTCCTTGCTGAGCCCTTGCCTCCAAGGAACAAATAATTAATTCCACTGTAAGTACCAGCTACTGTCACCGAGTGCATGGAGATGAGTTGGCTGCCATTTAACTGACACCCCATAAAATAACTATGATGAGGGCATCTAGGCAACATTCAACACTTGACTCGTAAAGCCTATAAGCCCTGGAGTTAACGTTTCTGAAGACCTATGAAAGGTCAGGACAGCATTCGGTATTGGCCAAGAATAAAATTCTATTCGAAGAGAACCACTTCTAGTTCTAGTCGCTCATGAACTCTTCTACTGTTCCAAATCAGATGACCGGACATCACAGCAAGTGGCGTCTAATGCCCACTATGGTGGCAAGAGAAGGACTAGAGAGTTAGCTCTTTCCATCTTCAAAGCACTTCCCACCGCAGCAGCAACTCCTCTCGATAGCTCTGGGCAGCAGGCCCAACCCCAAACGGAGGGTAATTAAGTGACCTGCCCAAGGCCATGCAGCAAAGACACTGAGAGCACAAAAGACAGCACCATTGGATCAGGAACCTCATGCTGGGAAGGGGAAGGCGTTCACTGGAGAGATGTTAACAGGTTGCTTCGCCTGGACTGGTCCCTTGAAACATGTATTAGCTACTTGTGCTAAATTTGTTCCACCTGATACTCAGTACCCTTCCCAATCCTGAAGAGCTCTCTGGATCTTGAAAGCTTCTCTCTCACCAACTCTCTCCCTGGCCCAATAAAAGATATAGCCTCTCCCCTGCTCCCTTGTGTCTCCTACTGTTAAGAGTCAAATGTCTCCATCTAGCCATATGGCCTCAGGATTCTTCTAAAGGAACGAGTACAGGGAAGGAAGGAAGCTACCGCAGAAGGATCTGCATTAGGGAGACAGGGAGGGAATAAGGAGCTTTCAGGAAACCGTCACACCAGGGTTGCAGTGGGACCAGCAGTCATGTTACAAATTCAATTGCTTTTGTCCAGGACATCCGACTGCCTGAATGCCCCACCTACTCCTGGATTGGAGTGGCCATGCGTAGGTAGCTACTTCAACTTTCCAATCATGTCTCAGAAATGCTCTACTTGAAACAAATTAAACATTCATCCCACGGCGCAGTCAGAGCTGGTCAGAAACCTTCGTAACGGTAATGCTTAGTCAGAAAGCCAGCCCTTTATTTTTTCAGTAATGAGTATCTAGTGGAGTAAAAGCCATTGTCAACCACACTTGTGAGGCAGTGGCCACCAAAGCCACTGGTAGGTATGATATTGCAGAGGAGGGTGGGGAAGCACTGGAAGGGTTCCTTCAGGAGAGGGTGGATCTCCACCCCTCGAGGTTTTTAAGTCCCGTCTTGACAAAGCCCTGGCTGGGATGATTGAGTTGGGGTGGGTCCTGCTTTGAGCAGGGGGCTGGACTCGAAGACCTCCTGAGGTCTCTTCCAGCCCTAGGATTCTATTCTATGATTCTATGCTCCTATGGTGACAATTATTGCTCGTTCCACAACATTATTACAGTCATCAGCACGAAACTAAGTCTTCATTTAGGCTATGTCTACTCTGCCGGGAAAAGTCGCAATTTACATAGCTTTTTCCGCTTTTTTCCCCGAATGAGGCTTTTACAAAATTTGGCCCATCTATACAGGACCAAATTTCAGAAACAAGCCTCCTCTTTCGGAACATTCCTTATCCTCTCACCAAGAGGAATACAGGGATGCTGAAAGAACACGTCCGCTTTTTCGTAAACGGTTATCTCAGAATCCAGCATCCTGGAAAAGCTCTGCAGTCTAGACATAGCCTCCGAAAGTCACTGGAAATGGGGAAGCTGAATTCAGTGTCTGAGGTGGACAGCAACTCATTTCTCTAGCCCGTATGGAATTTGTCCTAATCAGAAGGGGACACCTTGTGATACATAGTCAGACATATGAACGGCATGTTTCTATAGTACCTGCCCAGTTTCAGCCAGTTCTATTTGTCCTTCTCTTTTACAATCGCTGTATTTACATAAAACAGTATTAGGGAGAGGCCTTGAATCAAACACAGGGCAAGAATTAAATCTTGCTTGGATTATTCCCTCTGCCATGAGGAGTCATGCCCATGCTCTGCTGTGTGCACCTGAAGCACTCCATTAGTATTGCTTTAAAAATGAATTTAAATTAAAAAACGAGAAAGCGCCACTTAGCACTCAACCCACAAGCTGTCCCCTGCATGCAGAGTATGCTGTGTACAATGACATCCAATTTGAAGATTAGGTGGGGCGTGCAAATTATGATCATTAAGAAATCAACATACCTGGTGAGCTCTGCAGGAATAAAACACAATCCATCTTCCATGCTAAATTAGATGGTTAGCCCATCTTTGCTCTCCTGGCTTATGGAGAGTATTCATTTCTCCTGCGTGCCCTAAATGAGTAGGCCAATCATTCACCCCTCTCAAGGGTGCTGTACGTAAAAAGAAAATGAGCCAGCACTAGCTTAACAGAGTCCTCTTTCCACTTTAAGACCTCCAAACCAAGATCTCAGCAAGATACATCATACTGAGTGGCAACAGGCTTTAAGTTTCTGTGCACAAGGTTTGGACAAGCTCCAAGACCTTGGCAGGTAACCTTGTTATTGCATAAAATGTCACGGTTTGATAGGCTTTCAATCCACCTTGGGATGAAGCCATGAGGGAAACATTAAAAGGTCACCTCTGAATGGAAGGTTGGAACATTGTAGCTTTTCTAAGGGAGAGTAACCAGGGGTCTGCGCAGCCCACCTTTTGCTCAATCTCAAGGAAGCGCTTCAGGTCGTCAGCATCCAGGTAGTCCTTGTGGTTGCTGTAGGTGAGCATGAGCAGGTACAGATCGCGCCGCGTCGACATCATCTTGTAGAAGGCGCAGAACTCGTCGAAGCCCAGCGTGCCCTGGTTATCGTCCGTGTCCGCCTCCTGCAAGAAACAACCACACAGAGCCATTAGGGTGCCCTGGTCTGCAGCAAGATCATTACACCCGAGGGAGTTGAGAAAGAAACTGCAACCACAACTGAACCGCGCAAACCCTCGCATTGTAGCACAAAGTGGGTTTTCACCTGAATGCAGTCTCACCGCGTACTGCTCGGCTCAGGAAGATCGGTTCCCTGGGCTGCAACTGGCCTCACGAATGGCTTGTAACCCCCACACCCACCCCGTTTAACCTTCCTACAAACATGCATCAGTGTGAGCTCCCAGGGCTTGCTTTCCCAGAGGCACCGGCATCCACTAGCCCCCCCTCATCTGAGAGGTTTCCCATCCATGGCAATGAGGCAGGGCACTGTGTAATGCAGGATAGGGGAGAGGACATGCAGCTGTTGAGAAGGTCACTAGAAACAACACCATCCCATCCAGAAGCCCCTCACGCAGGAGTTCACCTGTGAATTAATAGAGCAGCGGTACCTACACACACACACACTTTAATTTAATAGGGTCCCACAGAGGAAACTTAGGAGCGGCAAAACACACTGCATCCAGGCTAACAAGTACATGCATTTCAGCGGTTCTCAACTCTGCCCCACTGCACCAGCCTACCAGGCACAAGACCTTCCCTTTGATGCATGAGCAGGGCAGCAGTGAGGTCAGCCAGATGTCTATCACTGTGTCCTCAGAGCACCAGCAACTGAGTGAGGCCTTATCTACACTGGCATGTTTTGATGCCCAAAACTGCCTTTTGGCAGCAAAGGAGTGAGAGCGTTTTCATTGCAAGGTGACTTTTGTTGGAAAAAACACCCAGTTTTGGCAACAAACAACTTCCAGCCCTGCAAGAGACTTCTCTTTATTGTCCAGCCCTCTCTTTATTGTCAACAAAGAGCCAGTGTGGACTCTGCTGTTTGTTTTGTTAAGAGAATTGGCTTCCACCAGTATCCCAAAATGCCTGCCTCAATCAATGTGCTCAATGTTTTGTGATCTCTGCTGCTCTGCTCTGCCCTGAGGAATGCACCCCTCCCCTTTCAAAGCTCTGGGAAGTATTTGACAGCTAAGTGAGCTGCTCCCTTTGAGGAACAAACAAAGAACAAATAATTGGCATGCTCCTGCTCTGCCCTGCTAGGAACACAGCGGCAGGCAGACAGTTGCTGCAGGAGGAAGGCTGGAGAAACTGCTGTGCTGCCTTGACATTCCTTAGCACGGACAGGTCACAGAGCTATGAGGGAATTCCAAGGACAGGGCTCAGCTCTGCCTTCCCACTACACTGCACTGTGGAATGCTCACCCACATTGCTTCGCTCTGTCGACAGGGGAGCTAGCAATGTGGCCATGAAATGTCAACAAAGAGAGGTCTGACCAGTTTTCACTTTTGGCGACTTTTACATGTTGACAGCACTTTCAGCGCCAAACCTTCCCAGTGTCGACATACCCTGAGTGTGTCCGTAGCTGGAGGCCACTGAGATGCATTCTGTATGACAGTAGTGCCGGCCTACAGGTCCCAGCAGAGTTCACGGACCCATAATGCTAGGTGCTGTGCAAACCCATGATACAAGAGACCGTCCCTCCCTACCCAGGGGTGGCTTAGAATCTAAACAGGCCAGACAAAATCTGTAACAGGAAATACCTTCCCCATTTTACTGAAGAGCTCAGGAGAGGATCCTCTGCATCCCAGGCCAGTGCCTTAACCATGAGGCTCTGCCTCTTCTGTCTAGTGGCAGGATTCAGCCCATTATCCACTGAGACAGTGAGTCATGCCTCTCCCCCATCTCCAGAGAGGCTGTTCAGTCATTCAGCATGTTTCTCCCTTGGCATTCTTTGTGAACAACACAACTTAAAAACCCAGCTCCACTCCAAGTCTTCCACAGAAGTGGGTTTTAACCCCAAAAGCTCCTGACATACTATATTTGTTAGTCTCTAAGGTGCCACAAGACTACTCAATGATCTATCGGAAAAAGGTACGCAAATTGTGCTCTGCAATTTGCGTACCTTTCTCTGATAGTTTTTCCGAAAGAAGCTTTTCTGAAATTTGGCCCATCAACACTGGGCCGAATTTCGGAAAAGCCTCCTCTTTTGGAAGAGCCCTTCTTCCTCATGGGAAGAGGAAGACAGGGCTTTCGAAAGAGCACGTCTGCTCTTCCACACAAAAAAAAGACAAAGAGCAGTTGCGTTCCCTGGATGTGGCGGAGTTTTTCCAAGATGCCTCCAGTATCCTGGAAAATCCCCGTAGTCTAGACACAGCCCGAGACTTAAAAACAGTTATTAATCAATTAGAAATACACAGAGCTACAGGAGTGCGAAAATGTCCCATGAAATAAAATATCCATTAAAAACCTCACACCACAGAACACAACTCAATTCTCTCCATTACGTTGTCCCCGATTATTCACGGATGTTTCAAAGGGGGCAAGTACTTTTCCCCTTTGAGACCCAAACACAGTAGGATTCTTCACAGGGTTTTAAAGTTGGATGAAGTTCAAATATTAGCAGAGGCCATTATATCGGAGCCTGTTGGAATGCAGCTTCAACAATACAACAACAAAAAATCAATTTGGATTAGCAATTTCACATTGTGTCTTAACTGTATCACTGAGCTATTAAGAGTTGTTTTACACCTCTAACTCCTTTAAGTGCAAAAATCTGATTCCATTTTCACTTTGCCATCACCTCGCCCTCACGCTCCATTAGTGTTCATTTGTGCTAATGACACCGGCCGCCTGTGCGATAACGCTTTGTGATGTCCTCTGGACTATAGATCAGCTCTCATTCCTGTCACCCATCAGCCCCAAGAAGGATTGCCAGGGTTGGTCCTCTCCGTCACTTCCATCCTCTTACTCCATGCTAAAGGGAACCCAAGCTTTGGGGACTAACGCAGCCGTTCTCAAATTGTGGGGCATGACCCAAAAATGAGTCTTGACACCATTTTCTCCAGGGCTACTTGGATTTGAACCCTCTGGGGTTTGTAGTATTTTTTGTGGTCAGAGAGGAGTCGTGGTGCAATGGAGTTTGAGAGCCCCTGTGCAAATGTATCCTAAAATGAGAGGGGAGCATGATAGGATAAGTGTAGAAAATTACAGGCAAGAAATTTGGCACCTGGACTGCCACCAGCAATGCACCTCTCCCGCTCCTTCCAGCCAGCAGCCTCAAAGGCACTTTCCAGGCATTAAGCCTCCCAAGAACATGGTAAGTAGATAAATTACAGCCAGCAGTTCCACAGACGGGTAAAGCGAGCCCCAGGGATGCTTATGGAGTCAGGGAAACAACCATGATCAGAACTAAACAAAATCCAGCTCTGTGTCCCCTAGGTAAGAGTCTTGATGATTTTCTGATTGATTTTTCAGGGGGAGGAAGAGGGACCGTTTGCACGAGGGCTAATTTTTAACTGGTTATTTTTTTTGATAGACAAATCACAAACGGCAAAAACTGCACCTGCGTTTGTGAGATGCAGAATATACAAAGCCCCATTACGCAGGGGGCTATGCACCAGATTTGGGACTGCAGGCAGGTCGCTGTCCAGTAAAGTTCTCAGATTTCTACCTGCCACAAACTGCAAGCCTAAAGAAAGCACAGGGAGAAATTTGGTGGGTGAGTATTGTACCACTACCCCTCCGAGGCCACCCACCCACCCTTAGAAGTGGCTCAGATACACAAGAACGGCCAGACTGGGTCAGATTAAAGGTCCATCTAGCCCAGTGTCCTATCTGCCAAGAGGACCAATACCAGGTGCTCCAGAGGGAATGAACAGAACAAGGAATCATCACGTGATCCCTCCCCTGTCACCCATTCCCAGCTTCTAACAAACAGAGGTTAGGGACACCATTCCCACCTATCCTGGCTAATCACCACTGATGGACCTAACTGCCATGAATTTACCTAGCTCTTTTTTGAAATGTAAATACGGCTGTTAACTTGCATGTCAGCTAATGGGAGCTAGCTGTGAAAGACCCCTCACCCCACAAACTCAGTGGAGGGGAGGGCTCTCGTGTGGCCATCAAGCCTCTCAAGAGAAAGAACAGCTGATATGTGCCACGCGGTTTTGTGCCTAGCGAAAAGGACTAATCAAATCTCCCAGAGCTGCTGGGCTAAGCAATACCAAGGGCAGAAATTATTCGGAACAAACGGTCCACCCTTCCGCCAGGTAATCCCTCCCTACAAATGAATTCTGAACAGTCTATGATGGGCAGATGGAAGGGAAAATACTTCATTCAATGCAGCCATATGAACTATGCAAACAGAGCTTGGTCTAAAAAATAGGGCAGATAAGGCGGAGTGAAGTCAATACAATGGCAGAGAAGGACTCTGGGGTATAATGAAAAAAAGCCAACCATCCGGAACGGACAGAGATCTCCTGAACAGCGAGAGCAAGCTGAAAGCAGCTGGGGATTCAATCTAGAGTCTACCTCACCGACACTGAAGTTTCAGTGAAAGCTGAGCTGCCGTGATGAAGAGGAGAGGAGGAAAAACAACCCCCTAACCAGTAAATTGTAATGATGAAGAGCTGCTTGAAGGCCTTAGGACTCAGTCGCATTGTCTGGCAACACATGATCTGATTGTATCTGGAGACCCTCAGAAACCGGGTCTGAAGTCTCTACTAAGGCACGCCTGTGGATTATGCCAGGGGAAAGATAAGATGGCTGCTGAATAAGTTTGCAGAACAACAGATCCAAGTCAGCCATGGCTCATTTTTGCAGCAGTCACTGTAAAAATCAGGACCACTTGCAGCCACAGATGAACTCAGAAATGTAGGAAGGGAAAATGCTTAAATATCTGCCTGAACCTCCTCTCCCCCCCCCCACAAAAAAAAATCACAGACCAGAAGGGTATGTCTACACTACAGCACTAATTCGAACTAACTTAGTTCGAATTAGTTAATTCGAACTAAGCTAATTCAAATTAGCGCATCCAGACTTAAAAACTAGTTCGAATTAGCGTTTTGCTAATTCGAACTAGCATGTCCACACTGAGTGGACCCTGAACTGAGGTTAAGGCTGGCCG